CTTTCAAATAAACTGTATACAGATCGTTCAAATAAATTATCTATACGTGCTCCCAAGCATCGTGCACTTTCTTATACGATGATTAATCATCTTGATACGGAAGAGGAATGAAAATAACGAGAGAGATGAGAGAAACTATGGATGTACCGGATTCTGCGGTTTAAATTTACATTTCAATAATGCAACGTCGAGTGAAAAATTACGTTGCTGCGCAAATTATAAATTATAAATACATACAAATTTGCACAGAGTATATTTGCACAGAGATAATTTTGTAAAGAAATTAAATGTCACGGTAGAAAAATAACTGTTATGCTAGTTCCTTTTTATTTGATTGTAAACAATAAGGTAATTTAAAATCACATTATTACATAAATCAAAATTGACTGCATCCATATTCCGTAGTCCAAAATCTGTGGTATGCACAAAATCAAATAATTCTTGTCGAATACTCGATATGCAAATTTGTAACTGATATCGTAATGATAAGCGTTTCGCTACAAGTTTCGTCTTAGATTACTGATTCGGTTTGTACACGTACGTCTTGCGCTTTGTGGCTTGCCACTGTGAACACCATGTAACATATACCTGAAAGTTCGTAACTACAAGTTCCACGTTCAAGTTTGTGACACATCTCGTTCCGTTCTAATTACACATTCAGATATGTACGGCAAAATATACGTTAGAACGTTATATCACTTAAATCATTAGTGTCGTATGCAATATGATTGATCGCAATTAAATTTCATTTTGTCTTATCGGAGATTTGTAATGCAGATCATCTTTCATCACAACTCTCAATTTTCTACAGTTAATTACATTTCAAGTTATTTCCTTCAATCACAGTATCTCAAAAATGGTCGGTCAGTTCGCCCTGTAACTTCAAATTATGCATGTGGAATAAATTATCAGGCGACACAGCGGCTGCTTTAAATTCCGCATAAATGCGCGATCACGAAAATCGCGCGAAATCCCTTTCATCAAAGAATGTCTATATTAAATATTCCGCCATGTCACCTCATTTTCGATGGAATTGTCGACAGTCCACGAAATACATGCAAATTCTGCCGGAGCATTCAAATACCACTGGTATACTTCCTTGTACCAGATATGTGTTATCATCTGAAAAACTTTCTGTCCCATTTATTCCATTCGTTGCACGAATTCAGGTGCCAGTTCCATACAATTTTTTGAGGCTTCATTGCCTCTAAACGAATTCTATGATACATAAAACGATGAAATACGATTGTATGAAATTACATTGAGATGTAAATAAATAAACCTTATTGAAATTTGTTTGTTTTTTTTTTTATTTACTTGTTGAATGAGCAGAGAGGAAAATATATTATATTGTCAACATCTTTTAGAATCTTATATTAAAATAAATAACGATTTAATATATTATTTAAATATTTAAAATACATAACATTTAAATAACCTTTAAATAACAACGCGCGTATTTATGTAGGTGTAGGTATCTATTTATTCAGAAAGACATAAGCATAGTTGTATATCATAAAGTATATATATCTCTTTCTCTCTCTCTCTCTCTCTCTCTCTCACACACACAAATTAAAAAAATAAACATAGGTATAACTTATCTAGAAATTACAACCAGATATTTTATGAATATTTATATTCTCTTCTATTTTATAATTATATAGAATGATAAATGTTACGTAATAATAAGTAATACATTCTTTTTTTATTAATATTTATAAATGTCATTAGTTTGTGTATTGATCTCTCACATCATATATATTTTTTGTCTTTTGTTATACTTTATATTTGATTTTTATACGCACAAAAATATGAAGCTCGCATAGTTTAAAAGAAAATAAAACCTAATTAAAAAATTTTTTTTTAAATAGCGGGAATAGCAGATCCCTTTTTTGGAAGCTTTTTCTTTATTGTTAAATTCAAGTAAGCTATATTTTATTGTACTATTTTATTTCTTGCATTCGCATTTCTCACGCTTGAACAAGACCATCGCTCATAGTCTGTTTAAACTCGCTCAGTAATTTATTCTTTGAGTTGGCTCGAAAGTATGTCTACATCAATAAATCGAATTTAATGCACAATGGAATATTGAAAAAATAATTTATATTTATAGACCACACGTGCCAGATCAGAAAGACCGTCAGGAATGTAATTTAGGCTGAAAATTAACTGTCTACGCGCGTGCTATCGTGCTCAATAACTCAAAATTTACCATCACGTGAGAGTTAATTATCTCCAACCCTGGGTCCGTCTGAGAAAACGCTGACGCGAGTCCGCAAACTTTCCGTCGCTAATTTCTAATGTTTTCTGTTACCTCAGAATGAAATTCCGAAGCGATCGTGCGGATCGCGAAGAGAGACATTCCGAATCAGTTGGATCGAAAATCCGCCGGAGTCAGAACCATCACCCTTCTTATCCGTATCCGCTTCCATCGCAAAGTCGCCACTTTCGACGTAATCGCGCCACGTGAGTAGGTACGTGACTGCGAATAAAGGACCATCGATCGTGATTGGAAATAGAAAATACAGGTTTACACAGCTACGTAACCTTTTTGAATCGATCACTTGTCAGAAACGCGATGTCGCAACGAAAAGGTCGTGGCCAATTAAATCAAAGCGCGAGGTCGGTTTCAACATCAGCATATCATGATACAATTTTCCATTTCCTCTCTTCCCATTGTCGAGGCGGCAAACAGACAATGTCGTTAACGATATGCATCAAGAACATGTCTTTCGCGAGTATGTATATGCAAGTTACGTTATGACTTGTATCAGAGTAACAACTATACTCTTCCTGCATCCGTAACACAAAATTCCTGATAAATTTTTCTAAAAATATCCCGACATATTATAAAATACATAAATTAAAATATTTATTTATAAGTGATTTATATTTATGTATTAATGTTAAGCTTTGATAATCACGTAATCAAGGTGAAAACTTTTCTTTAGATTATGTAAAGAAAGATATATGAAGTAGTTAGATATGATCTACATTTATATAGATGTAGACTAAGCTTAAAATAAATTTTATTCTACCAAATTGGTATTTTTATTCTTATAGTATGACTCTGTTTCTAAGCGGAGATAACGAATGTAAGAAACGATGATAAATGAGAGCTGCAAAATACGTTTTGGCTAGATGTTTTTATTTTCAATTTTCAACGCGATAAGTATATGAATCGAAGCTGATATGTGATGACATGATTTATTACTTATATGACGACACTGCAGTTTCTGTAACTTGCGAAATTCTCATTCAGTGCACGAGAAAGTTTGATTGGTCCGATCTCGTCCAGCAACTGCTCCTATCGGAATATTCAAAGAGTAAGAGAATTTTGATAGTTCTCTCGTTACAGTATCGAATGCGATAAACTACACGTGTATAACCTGTCGAATGAGTTTCATAGTTATTTTCCAGCAGGATTACAACTTGAAGTTGTTAACAAAACTCCATTTTCTGATATTATAAAAAATCAATCAACGTTAACTGTTTCAACTTTTAAGTTGTAATCCTAATCGTTTTTCTTGATACGATTTTTTTTTATTTTTTACGCTGTTTATTACCTGCTGTTGTATTATATTTTAATAACTTTCTTATTGAAGAAACTATCCGGTTTCATGATAACGACTGAAAATAGCATTTTGTTGTAGTGTATATTGAGAGTACAACAGTAGAATCAGAGTATTTTGTGACGCACGATATAAACGCGTACGTGTCGTTCCCTTGTATTTTCCATTTTACCGTTCTTTTATTTTTCCCAAAAGCGCGAGCGTTTCGTCAGAAGGAATTTCAGTTTGTTACAGAATCGCACATCGATCATTTTGTTCTTTGAATATTGATGAAAGAACAATTGTTTTAATGAGGTATTTTGTCCTCCTTAGTTACATTATCTTTCTTCTGTTATCTCCATGATCGAAGATGACTTTGACAATCACGAATCATGGATTATTCAGGTCTTTTACTGTACGTGTTGAAGAAATGAGCAGAACTAAATGACATTTTACGAATCTGGCAGTTCCGTCACGTTCCTGCACACAAATTTTACTCTCTTGGGACCTTTCTCTGCGAGTTTTAGCTAAGAAAAAATTTATGCAAACTAGTGCAAAACTAAACGAATTTTCAAAATCATGTTAGTTAATTAACATAAGCTCTTATTTGCAATAACGTACATATAAATGAACTTGAATAATAAAATTTCGTTGACCAACGTCGATTTAATATACTATAAAATAATATTAATATACGTGTATTATTTCATATTAAAATGAAGTAGATTTAAACTAATGTTTTTACATGTAATTATAAAAGTTACGTACACAAATAATCTCCATGGTAATATCAAAATACATGTTATCCTATTATAATAAACATGAATACGTAAACATTATAAAAGTTTAATTTGTTCTATTTAATTTATTTTTATTTGCATTAATTTATTATAGCAATAATTAAATTTGTATAATATTAGTATATGTACATTGTTATGAAAGAGCTAAACTATTTTTTATTGAATTAAAAAGATAAGAGATAATTTATTTTACAAGCATATATTTATACACTTTGTACTTATACACTCATTATACTGAATAAAAAAAAACGTCGATTAATAAAAAAAGATTTCTATAAAATATATACTTCAAATTGTTTGAAAATTCGTTCATTTAGAATCGTAATCTCTGTGAACAATATCAGATTCTAATTCCACCATGATCGCACGTTCGCCGATAATTGGCTAATATTTCACTGAAAAGATAGATACTTTGTGATCACTAATTAATGACAGATTAATCTTCCTTGAGAATCTTTTCATAAATAAAAGTACTCTCAAGATACTTTCTGGACAGCTTAATTATAATTTTTAGAAGCGAATAAATTTTAATCACAAAATTGACCGTTAAAATATTGGGAAAAAGTGCAATTTTTTTTATCAACCCTTTTGTTTATTAACCCATCGATTCTTCTCGTGCGACGCAAATTGAAGTCACGTCGATTTGCAAACGAACCAAATTGGTTACGTGTTTATCTGGTAACGAAACAAACGAGCAATTATTTGATGGTCTCCGTCAGCTCCGCCATTACTAATTCCCTGCAGGAATACAGATATTCGGCAATAGACTCTAAGTACTATCAGCGAAAGTCTTAAAGTATATCCGTCTCTTAATTCACGTCGACAACGTAATGGAGGCGTTTCATCGCGGAATGTGAAGACATCCATCTGATGCTCGATAAAGGATTAGGTCATCCCTCCCGTTGCCGAGGATCCCGTTTCCGTGAAGGTTTCGACGGTGACTCGTAAACCGGATCTATCATCCAATAGACATGATAACGTCTGCATACAGGCCGAGTGCTTTCATTTGATTGAAATTCAAAATTTTACTCAAGCTGGCTTTCGCAAAAAGCCAGAATACTTTGGTCGAAATATCCGCGTAAGCTCCTTGACTCCATCAAGAAAGCTCTTCTCTTTCTGATGGAAATGAGACGGTCTCACAAAGCGCAAACCGCTTTTACGTTGTAACAAGTCGATATGATCAATACATTTTTCACCATTATTGCTTGTGACTTGCATATGTAGCAATATTGTTTAATATTAGATTGTATACTATACTGCCCGTGTTTTATATCGCTCAGAAATTCATGTGAGAGAAGAGAATCGAGGATTACGTCCGTGATAAAAATTACTCTCGCATACGCAATGCCAGTGAACGAACCGGATGCGGAAATTTTCGAAAGGGATCAATCACAGTATCAGGTTAGTTGTACCCTGCACGAATTTATTAGAATGTATCGTGCATTAAGTCGAATCGCTTTATTAAATCGTTTTAACGGTTGTATAAATACGAGTACATCAGAATAGAAGTTGAAACGGAATTGCATTGACATATCTATATTAGGTTGTTAATGGCGCACGTCACGAAGAAAATGACAGAATGTTAGCAAAGCAGGAAGTAATCAACGAGAACGGTAAATCCTGGATATCGCCGAGTGAGTCAATCAATCAATTCCCATCTTGCATATTCGACGAACTAAATTTTCTGATAACACACAAGTGTACAGAAACTCGCTGTATGCTGTTAATTAATTAATAAATTTTAATTAGTATCTCCGATTATACAAGACAGAAAAATAGGTTAAGTAATTTATTTGCTCTCTTTATTTTCTTTTTTCCTTTTCTACACAAATATATATGAATGAACATAATTATAGTTGACTATATGAAGAATTTAAAAATACGTGCATATCTTTTTTCCTCACGTAGCAATTTAATGATCTCGATGTGTGTTTTTAATTTTATTTCATTTGAAATCCATTAAGAAAAGAAATTATTCAATTCGTTCGCATCTATCTAGTCATCTATTTACTTTAACTCTTTGACATTTCGTATTGATATGTCATCTATTTGCTTTAACTCTTTGACATTTCGTATCGATATGTCCGTCGTAACCGTTGAAACAAAGATAACATTTAACATTATTATTAGTACGCAAGTAACATTATTAACATACGCAGTAGCATACGCGAAATTCATGTAGATAATTTTCTTTTGGTCTTGTAACTCTTTGCAGTGATGAAAAACACATCGTATGCGCACAGGATGAAGTTTTGCGAAACGAATAGAGAGATATAAGATTGCAGAAAATGTTGACTTAAAAAACGAGATTCCGTTTGATATGAATTCCGTACTCGATATAAAACTTTGAAGGAGTTATTTCGTGATTTATTTTGTCGTAACATCTGTGGCTCGATCTAAAAAAGGTGTTCGTCAAATTACATATGAGTGTAACTTCTTTGACTTACAGTTCATCGCGGTGTGATGAATGAGATTACTTTCATTTGATATTTTCTCTCAAGAAATTGAATTGGTGTTACATATAAACTTGCGTTCACGAATCGCGTTTTAATCGCGAGATTCATTCGTATTTATTGCTGTCGTATTTATTGCTATGTGGTAGGCGGACTAGGTATCGATCGATTTGCCTATCACGATATACTGAAGTGGTTTATTTAGAAAGGTAAACCACGAAACGCGAACGGCTGTGTGTATCATTGCATTGATTTCGTGTATATTGTATTTACTAAAAACATTAATACAGTATATAGTATATTATAAATATTAAAATGCAATGTGTTATCGATCTTTTATGAAATCCGTGTATCAATATAGCCAGCTGTTATAATTAATATAAAAGATATTTCATTTTGAAGTAAAATATAATTTCCGAAACGATAACAGATTCTGTTGGTACTCGAGGGATTAGCCCATCAAGAACAAAGGAATTACCGGAGTTATCTCGAACGACATCGAGGACGGAAGCCGTTAGGCAAGATGTCAGGAGGTTGAAGAGCGCCACGTTGGATAGAATGGGGAAGATGTTTAAAGCGCGTACGCCTGCTGCAGGAAGGTCTTTTTTAGGTTTGAATACTGTAAGTGATTTGGATTCTTAGAGCATCATGATAATTTGATAAATTTGATAATTTGATAAAGATGAGTACTTGATAAATATAAGATGCATCTGGGGACGTATAATGTTCGAGCTTCAATAATATCTTATGATATGTATATATGAAGAAAGATTGAATCCTGAAAGTGCCTGGATAGTAAAAATGAATTGAAATACATACTGACCGCATTCTGATCTTAAACATGTTTTGATACGTTTCGTATGTCTATAATATGCGTTTTGTAACCGATTATTTTGCAAAATCTTTGCGTGTCTTTTATTAACTTCTTGAAAATAAACTTGTGAAAAAATGAATTTGATTGAAAATATAATCACTTTTTTCTCTAATAATTTTACTAAATAATCTAACCTTTCAGAAACTTAATAGGTTCTGAATTATAATATTTAATATATTTATTGTTATGTTATAATTAAAATGTATATATTTATACTAAAAACTGAAACAATGTTCTTAATAATCTGATTTGTCTCTAAATTTGTCGATAATCTCATTAGTACAACGAATGTGTAATTGATTGTTTAATTAGAACCAGTGAAATGCATGTCAATACATTAATCGCTGTAGATTGCGATCGCAAAACAGCACTAATTAATTGAGACTATATTTACATTAAAAATAATTGGATATATCTAATATATAACAAACTAGATTTTAAAATAATGTTATTCTTATTTGTAATTTGAATAACTTGAAAAAAGTTTTAACTAAAGTTGTTATTTTTTACAATTTCGATGATTTGGAAAAAGAGTTTGAATCTTTAATACTTTTGGAGTTTAAGGTGTCTTCGAAGCTGTGAAGTTTGATGTTAACTTCGAAACTCTGAAAAATATATTGGTGCAAAAAAAAATTAAAATATATTCGAAAATTTTAATATCAAAACTTCGAATCTTCGAAGCTTCGAAGTTCAGATGTCGAAGCAAATCACCAATCTTAGTTTTAACGACTTATATTTAACACCTTTAGCTCTTCTTTCTCTCTTTAGAATATAACAAGCGTAGATAACGAAAAAACATCGAGAAATGAAAAAACAAACTCTTTGGGGAGGATGTTTAAACTTGTCGACAAAGACGGTTCGCCCAGGAAGCTTTTTGTTCATTCCCGAGCCGTATCGCTGAGTCGTATACTACGTAGGAATCCTCATAATGAGAACAATGGAATTATCGATAAACCTGCGGAGGACACCGGACGTGGAATTCTCTCTAGAATGTTCAACCAACTGAGAGGAAAGTAAAGATTTAAAGAAACTGGTCGAGCGAATTTTCATTAGTAGGCAGACGCGACTTGTCGTTGAAACCTCTCTCGTACTTCAATTAATAATTCTTAGAGTTACAGTCTAAATACTTTCGTTTTAAGTGAACTTTGCCCTACTTATTTTATCGGAAACATAGCTGCAACATTTATAATATTATTATCTTTTTCCGAAATTATGAAAAATAGATTTTACGTAAGTTGACTATTAATAAAATAATGTTTACTAATAAAGTAATTTGTCTATTAATAAAATAATGTCTGCTAATAAAGAGTGGCACGCTCGCTCGTGTCTGACGCCCAATTATTGGTCTCGAAATCTTGTACTGTGTGCCGAAGCGGTCGGACGAAGAAGAAATTTTGGTTTCTTCTAAGACTGGACGAATTCCTAGCTTAAAATTATCGGAGATTGTAGAGAATAGGCTGCGAACGCGCGACGAAGTTCGTGAGTGCGGTTGTAAATTTGGTGAATTCGCCAAATTTGCAACCGCACTCACGAGCGTGGCGCAACTTCATCGCAGCCTATTCTTTACAATCTCCGATATTTTTAAGCTAGGAATTCGCCCGGTCGGGAAAGAAATCGAAATTTCCTCCTCGTCCGAACGCTTCGTTACGCAGTATAAGTTCCCGAAACCGATAATTGGCCAGGTACGAGCGAGCGTGCTACTCTTACTCAAAATTATTCAGATTATTTTTCACGCGATGTTACACTAAACGGCGAACGTCGACAGCCCTCTCAATCATAAATAGGCAATTCATAAAACATAACTCAACTTATATCTTAAATATAATTATAATTCCATAAATGTTGAAATAAGAATTGAATAATATATTGTATTAATTGTAGGTCGTTCTGTGAGCGGAACTACCACTAAGCCTGATGAACACAAGCATCCACACAACAAACTTGATTCTTCATTAGAATTGTCATCAGAAATGCCATTAAATTCGAAGACTACTAATATTATGTAGGCATTATTAGTGTCTAAAGAATCCGACTAGATGTCGTTTCTTGGGAGACATTTGTATTAATCTTGACTTTATTGTAATAAAATTTATTTTTAATTATTTGATACATTGAATTTATGTATTAAATGAACACAATCAACTATTCAAAATGAAAAGGAATATATAATTTAGTAAAAAAATTTGTGTACATAACTTTCTCACATTTTTATCGTCTTATGAAGTATTATGTATTTGATAAATGAGATGGGGAGGGATACAAAATAAAGCGAGAGAAAAAAAAGATTACGGGAAGAGTCACGTTTATTATGCAAGTGTGTCTCTTTTTCATATGCTTGTATAATGTGATATTACGGGACAACCTGTGCCCCTTCGTGCTTCGCACATGTACAAATTCTCAGATACATACTAATATGTATTACGATGTTACGTGACAGAAATAACTGTATGAGTTTGCGAACCGTATCGTTGCGAGGGATAGATATGAGAGTCTTTATTCGTGAAGCCGCCCTCGCACAACGAACTATCCTCGCAGCCGGTATAAAATGTATTTACAAAAGAGATTATAGACCTACGCGGAGTATGCGCTTGTGTAAACGTGTCGATTCCTCGTGAAAAATCGCGACGAAACTTCGGAAGCGGTGATTTCCTGTCATTTTTATTCGCTTCGAGTACTCTCTTCAGATTCCGTATCGTTTTGCATTGAGTCGTCACGATGACACAACCACATGATTACGCTGTTAAATATCTCGGTCGAAAAGTATCTTGCAATCGATACGTTCGAAATAAATTCTCTTCGTACAGTATTGCCGTCGTTTTTCACAGAGAATCGCTTCTGAGGACGACAATTCGTAGACAAATTCGACGTAAAAAAAACTCGATCTTAATATAAAATTATATACAATGTCGCGCCCTGCAGACGTACGCTTCAGCACACGGTATATTAATATTTCGCCCTGCAAGTTTCGATGTTAATAATTGATTTAACAGCAATGATTGGCACGTACTAACATGGGCGATGAAAACGACTTCGCTATTAATTCATTTGGGAAGACCGCATTTGCGCCTGACAGCTCTTTTGTTCTTCTTCCTTGATCAACGATCATGATTTATCACAGAATAAAATAATGCAAAACAGTTCAAGCGCTAAACTATTTATAAATCTGGTGAATTAAAATTCAATGTGTGTTATTCCCGTCCTCAACTTCTTTAGATTAAGATCTAATAAATCCTATGATACTTAACTATGAAAGAACAGCGATTGCACATAATTGCTGGATTCTTTGTAAATTATTCACGTGCAGATTTGTCTGCGCCTTTAAATGTTATTTCTTATTTATAATTAACAATCTGTCGTTATTTTTAAAAAGAAATACATAACTTCTTTCTTATAGTACTACACAATTAATGTTTGAGTACATTATCATGAAAAATTTTAGAGTTAATAAAACGAAAGATAATTTTTGACGTTATTGCAAATAATCGACTAGACTATAATTTTGACGAAGAAATTTTCATTAATTATAGATAGATAATTATAATTTCTAATTTAAAGTTATATTAGTCCTTAAATTGTCTATAATTTAAAAGAGTATAATTGATAACGATAACAAAATAGAAAATATTTGAGCTCAGTTTAATACAAAAATCTAATTATAAATAATGATCTATTTAACTAAGAATTGCAAACACGCTGTATCATAGCGTAGAAGAAATGTACAAGATACAAAATCGTTCACAAAATACTTTACATATTCAATAATGTCAACATTATGTTATGGTTAGGTAAAATACAATCTTCTGTCAGTAGATCAGATCTTAAAATAAATATATAAAAATGAGAAGCTGCAACATAAATATTGATATATAAATTTATATCCCGCGGAATAAAACGTCATTAATATTCATATCGCACAAAAATATAATAAAAAAAATTGTCTTTCTGGTAAACTCTCGTCTGAGTATTAAGTAGAATCATTGACTGTCGAATTGTCTCAACGGTAGTACTTCAATACGTGCACTCTCTTTCTCTCTCTCTCTCTTTCTCTCCAAATTTTTCAGATGTAAGCAATAGTATAAGCGACAAGGATTGAAGTTAGCGAAATTGTTAGAATTTAATATCGCTCTCTTCATGTCTTTCTCTAATATGTTTTTCGCATCTTTCGCGAATAAACTGACATCAATAGCGCTCTGTAGTAGCATATCAACAGCACAATTACTATCAACTGCATACGTACAGTTATATAAGATTATCATACAGATAATTTCGATGAATCAGACAGAATTTTTATTAATCCGCTGAATATTTAAAAAAATTTTAATTTAAAAATATTAAAAGTTACACTTTCGAAAAAAATTTCATTTAAAATATATGTATGCTGTCTTAACATATATTGACTATTACATTTTTTTTTATTATTAATTATATGCACAAACTTCCATAAAAAAAGAAGTCTGTGTGGTTATATGTCATTGACACTCATAAGCGAGTAGCGGATTAATATAAACTCTAAGTAGCGCTTACTGTAAAATGTAATTTTTAACAGCCCTTGCAATCGTTTATAGATTTACGGTTCACAGTGTGACCGGTATAAAAATGCTTATCCAAAAATACAGCATCGATGAACACGAAATTCTTTCTCCTTTTTTTTTCCTGTAAATTTCATCTTTTTGAAGAATCTGACAGAGAAAATTCAGCAACCCTGATTATTAAACTAATTGTAAGCTCACTTACATTGTGCAATCAATTACGTTTTACCACGCTTTTAACGAGAATACAAAATTAAGTACATATATTTGTATATCGTCGCAAAAGCGACATTGAATACTAAAAATGATTATTCGATTCTTTTATATATCCTGCGAACGCGGTTACCGTTGAGGATCAACTACGAATTGCGAAATTGAGGCCTATCTATTTGAAGCTAGCGGGAACTGGAGATTATCGCGATGTGACGATTATTTATACATATTGGTGCATTCGTTTACGCAGCGGTTAACGCTGAAAGTGTCATTTAATCCTTATTTAATACTCGGTGAAACAACAAGGATAAAGTAACAGTTCTGTGCTAATCGCTGCACAAACGAATGCACTCTATTTGTGAAGTTCTATTGCTTTTCAACAGCGATCACGATTCACGATGATAAGAGGGGATAACACATAGCTTCAATCGATTATCGATTGATTACTTACATACACGCGCACACATCTGCACATATACATACGTACTCTGACTCCTTCAAAAAATGATATGGCTTCTACGAAAATGCGAGTTTCTTGTTCCCACTGATATCGTTTCGCTCATCTCAAAAAGAAGGATCGATTAAGAGCTCTACACACCCACACCCGCTCGTCCTTCCAATTCTTTCCCCTAGATAATTCGTTTTAATATTAACATTATTATTTATCAAACCATCGTCTAGCACGCGTCTCTTACATGGCTGTTGGACGGACGGTTTGCCATTTCGAACGATAACTCAACCAGCATGATTGTCGAGTGTTTTGCATCTCGCTTTTGCAACGGATCGCTTTTAAATTTTATCTAACCATACTACGTTAATTCTGCAAAAGATAATAAGACAACGTAGGATAATCTTCTATGCGTCCGTTTGAATAGAACGCGAAATATGAACAAAGTATTATTGGTGGTAATCTCAGAAGAACATTTGCATCGGGATGAACCAAGATACCATTTCGCAATGTCTGCACGATCCAATCGATCGAAAATACTGTCTTACATATTGCGACTTAACAAAGACGTTCAATAGACTCATTGCGGATGCGATGTGGTTCGAGGTCTCATCGTGACACAACCAGTGGAATATGCATCTTTGCACTCGTTATAATATACGATCTACGTCTATCAACATTGCGCGCCTTATCAGATTCCTGCTATTTATATAAGATATGTATACATGAGTTATATATTAATAAAGACATAATCTCTCCGACCGTAGCACAACGCGTATAAAACATCGCGCACGCATTTGATTCGTAATCCCACACTTGGCAGCATATTCAGTTTGACATCGTCTTTTTGCCTCCCCCTCTGATATTGTCCTTTACGGCACATCCTTTTTATATTTTTCTCATATAATTATTTTAGTCGTGAAATTATTCTACTCGTATCACGGATTGAACACGCTTAACTTCGATATGTAACTGATACAGAAATAAAAACACCATTGTGCTCAACCATTGCTTAATATAAAATTCTTTCTGGAGATTCTTTTTCACCGATTATCTCCTCGCACGCGACCTAACTAATTTCTAAATAATTATTCTTGCGCTGTTTGCTTTCGCCGTTATTCGATTTAGACTGTCATTTCTTTGCTTTTATGTTTTTCTTTTCCATGGAAACTTGAAAAATTCTGGGGATTCAAGTACCTTTGGAAAATGAGATTCGTTTTTGTTGCTATTGATCGTTGCTCCTAACCAGCAATCGAACCATCACATCCCTGATTCAGCTATTCCTTCGTCATCTGCAAAAGAGATTAAATTAGGAGAAATTCGAATTATATATAATTGCTGCTTGTCATGTACATTATCATCATGCTCGATGCAAGCTACATTATTATTTTTGTGAATGCAAACAAATCTATATTATATTTTATAAAATTGATATAAATTTAAACTTAAAAAAAACATTCAAATATTCTTAACTAATTAGAAATGTTGTGACAAATTACGAGTAATAAATTCAATGTATGTTGAGCAAGATAAAATATTAGTGTCGAATGTATTGATAAGACAAAATTAAGTCAAATTTTATAAATCATTCTATTTATAATTTATCGATTATTTTAGTCATTGCAATTATTCCGCTGAAATTTGTACGAAAAATTGTAGTAATTAAGTGATATAAATGTAAATGTTCTCATCGCTAACAAAATATTATTAGTGTTTAGTGAAACATATTGTTATTTTTTGTTTTCACATGCAACGTACACAATTAGTATACAAATTTGGCATTTATATAATAGTATCTGCATAGTATAGATTCATGCAGGGAAGAAGAAAAGCAACGATCGAAATTACCCTCGATGCAGGAATCGCTGTTCGAAGGTCACCTCTCCTTCTCATCCTCGGCGGGACTCTTAGT